TATCGTTGCGCTTGGAGATGAATCTTCGGGCATCGGGAAGACGATCAAGTTGAATGTATCGTGGCTACCGCCGGAGAATGAGGACAGACTTTTATCATACAGGTTCGTTCTATATTGTCGATGGAGAATTCAATTTGCAAAGAAAAATTTTCTAGTTCAAGTTGTCATTGCCATTTTTATTACCCATTTAACGAGCAATCCTACAAAGTTTTAACGATCCTATTGCCTTTTTAAGAATATTAAATAAACCGTGACTATATATATATATATATATATATGTGTGTGTGTGTGTGTGTGTGTGTGTGTGCGCGCGCGCGCGCGCGTGTGCGTGCGTGAGTGCGTGTTTGCGTTTATGTATGTATGATGTATGAATGTTCATGTATAAGACACGAGTTTTCTTGGTTAGAAATGATTGTATTAATCTTCTTGTAAATTTAATTATTACAGATAATTTTTCAGTCAGTTAATGCCAAATATTTCAAAACTTTGAAAGAGTCTTGAATATGTCACAGTAAAGAAACTGATTTATTCGAGTAATTTTTATGTACAAGCTAATAAGAAAATGTATAAAAATTTTGATTTCATATTTTAAAAGTTTTTGCTTCGTAAAATGCTTGAATAATTACAGACTTAATGAAGTAAACGCCTTCTCTTTTCGATAGGTATAATAATAAATGAAATTATTGTACAAAGTTTATAATTAATGTAATCATTATCCTTTAAAGATATTTATTATTTTTTTTTTTTTTATAAAAACTGCCAATATATTTTGCAATCTTTTTTATAAAATACAATGTACACCAATTACAAGTATAACTTAGTAAAAGCATATTTTTTTAAACCTTTTTCATTTAAAATGTAATTTATTTCAAATATATAGAATTAAATGTAGTATATATAATATATTATAGGATTTATTTACATTTATTACTCATAGTAATATAAAAAAATATTAAACTTTATGAGAATTATTATATTTTAATAGATACTAGAGAAAATATAAATCAAAATGAAAGCTTTAAAATCCTGTAATTTAAATTGAATAAAGTGACACTTTATTATTCCATATATCATTATTCAGATAACATTATTATGTTACTAAACAGTTTTTGTACATTATTAATAGAATTTTCCTGTAAGAAGACAATCAAATCAATGTAAATATTATAAATACAAGAGGCCAATTTAAGTTTCTTACTTAAACTAATGCGCTCTAGAAACAGCTCTAGAGAAATCTAGATAAGTTTTATAATTAAAATTCCATATCAAAATATCTATTGTGTTTGATGATTAAACATATTCCTGATACAATTTTAAGGTATCGTGAGAAATATTAAAGTTTTGAAGAATTTCTTTTTCATCATCGTTAAGAAAAAGAAAAGAAAAAATGAAAGCTCAATTTTATATAAGTAAAACATTTAGAATTTTTAGTCTAATGTTGTATTAATATAAATTTTTTTGTAAACAACTAATTGATAATATATATATATATATATATATATATATATATATATATATATATATATACATGTACGCATGTATTATGAGTTGTGAAATTTAATTACAAGTCAACACATAATTCACATTTACCATATTATTATACTATATGTTAATTTGAAAAGTAATAGAAACTTTACGACAGCTTATTAATCATTCTTTTTTAAACTTTGCATTTTATACAATTAAATGTTTAATAAATATTAATAAATTATCTAATACAGAACGTGGTGTAGAAACAACGTATTTACAAAATAAATAATTGTTGTAAAAATGTTCAAATTAATAATTGTATAATGTGTTTGAATTATGTACTCGATCATGAAAAAAATATAAATTTTATATTAATTTTATATCAATGTTAACTCAAATTCAAGTTTCCAATCACATAATAAATATTACCTAAAATAATATGTTATTAAAATATTTTTCAGCAAATATATAAAGATGTTTTTAAGGTGAAATTTGTATTTTTTAATAATCGCGTTCATAATTTATAACACATTATATAATTATCATTTTTAAATTTTAAATTATATCTGTAATATATTCATGATAATATAAGTCGACGAGTTGACTGTTTCTTTTTGAATAAAGATTATGAACGATGATGTTTTAATATATTTACAGATTAAATAAGTATTTAAAATAAGTTTTATCAAATGTTAATCGTGTAATAATTAGATGATTCAATTTAATAATTCGTTATTACTTACTTTTAATATAATAGAATTTTGATTGATAATTATCGAGAATTGATTTAGTTTATTCGGCAATTAATCATATTATAATCTGATAAATAAACTAGCTCACATATAAAGATTATGATAAGTATGATATATTTATTATAATTTTTTAATCATAGACTTAGGATGTTACTTCGTCTAAATTTTAACGATACGAAAATCTATATTTTATTTATTAAAATATAATATTTCAGTGAAATAAAATGAGTCAAATAACCGATTATTAGGTCGAAAATATATTAGGCAATACAACTCATTCTTTAGTGCATTACCGGTGAAGTTTAGATGAGGGTTTTACAGTTTTATGATCTTAGGCATCTTATCATATTTCGTTTTTGCACATACTGGTTGACCAACAAAAACATTTTTAAGTAGAGTACCCAGTAATTTGACGAAGTTATGGAATTTCTAATAATATGCTACGTATTTAGTTTTACCAATGACGAGCTCCGGGTAAAATGCCCCGTGGTTTTTGTATATTAACGAGGATTATAACCATAACTAAAGTCATAAAAGTACGTAACATTACATCTAGACACCATTAGTAACAACCTCATCTACGTTGATATTAAGCACAAGCAGGTATCACGCGGGTAGTTTTATAAAAATATCGCTCGATCAAATTAAAGTTTCTTGTTTGATAAGTGCATGTAATGGACAAGGCAATACATTTGCATTTTTAAATGGCCGATAACGACGGCAATTCGTGTCAAAATTGTAATTAATTTAATGTGGTTTTTTAAACGAAAGTGAAGAGTCTTTAAAGCGAGCATATTTTTATTAAAAATATTATCATGATACAATAATATTTTTATGATTATAATGTTGTACCTGTTTTTTATTTGAGAACTTTTACAGTTAAAATTTGCTAATTACCGAAAATTATTGATGGCGATAAAAATATTATAAAATTTTTTCGTTTTGAGTAATACATAATTGATTGTGCTTTATCCAAGAAGCTATTGTTAATGGAAGAGCTACTATTTCACTACTTAATATTTACAGTGGCAAATGTATTGTGTACTTGCATTATCAAACATAGATGATATTTTAATATAAATAATATCACTTAATAAAAACACTTAACAAAGTTAATTTTTTAAAGTATATTACGTTCCTTTTGTATATGAACATTTTTTTACAATGCCATATAATGATATTGTTTGTAAATTAAATACGGTTTACTCGACATCGCAATATCAAACTTAAAATAAATTAGCGCAAACGTAGTCCTACAATATATTTCAAATTTTATAGGTTTCATATTACTAAATTGGCTGTAAGTTTCATTTTCCTTATATCGAATATTGACTTTTGATTAAGGGACGATACGTTATATTGATATCGATACATTGAATAAGAATTTTTTTCTTAAGTTTTATCTATTAGTAAACAAGTTTTAATGGCTTATGGAAGGAAAATAAAAGCTTATATTTTGAATGGATCGATGAATATGTAAATATTCATGTAATAATATTTATAAATATTCATGTAATAAAAATAGTGAAATTTCGTATTTTGTTAAGTACTTACTCACTGCTTAATTTCTCTACATCCCAATATTTTAAAACTTCCTTTCTTTAATACCAATTTAAGCTAATTTTATATCGATGCGTTTTTACACTTCATTAATTACGATGACAATTCAATAAAAATCACGCAATCTATCTTTATGAACAAACAATGTAGAGAACAATAGTTGAATTATTTAATCGTTTGTAAAATTCGAACTTTTGCATATTTCGCGTCATAGTCAATACCAACTCTTATCTATTTAAATGAAAATTCCCATTATGTCTTAATACAACAATCCAGCCGATTGTTTCATTAATTTAAACACTGAATACTGAAAATCGGTATTGAGTAAAAAGAATTTTTGCCGACTTGCTCTTACCTTTAATAAGAAGGATTATTTGTAAAATTTCTACTTTTATATCCTATATTATTATTATTGATAAATAAGTAGAGACGCAGGAAGAAAGGTCAGACGATCTCCGCCCCCTTAATAACCCTTTACATCCCCTGGAACGTAATCAGGCCGGAGATCTCCCATCCCTTGCGCAGTATGCACCTGCGCAGCCAAGGGCCACTTCCAACCAATATATCTCCCACTGTAATCAAAGTCAATTAGCCTAGGCATTTCAAGCCTTTGAAAGCATCTATCACCATCCTGACAACTTTCGGTACCTTACGCGCCTCCAATTCGACAGATAGAATAAGTCGTCTATCATCTTGCCCGAATGTCATATCGTGTCGTCTAAATATTATTCCTAGTCGAACGCTCGTGACGCTTCATTCACAATCATTCTATTATGACACATTGTAGAGACGACAGATAATAGTACGCGGTAAAATTTATTTTCAATATGATAAGTGTCGTATCAGTGTTAAGCAACAAAATTATAAACAAAGTTTTCAAATTGAAATGACAAGGATAATTTGATGGATCTAGGTATAAGCGTAATAAAAATAATACTCGATTTGCTATTACTATTATTTATAATATTCCGAATCAAAATATAGAAAATGGTCAATATTCAAAGAAAGGACATTTGTAGACAGAATTTATACTTGTGTGCAAATATATTATTTAGATCTGACAACAGTAATACGCACATAATGTTCATATATATATATATATATATATATATATTATATTAAATGTATAGATATTAATTTTATGACACTTATATAAGTGATCGTCTATTAAAACTTTTATGAATTGAATATTGAAAACTTGATAATGTGCAATGAATTTTAATGCCATAATCATATCTTAAACATATGATTATATATATATATTATTAATCATAGATGATGCAAAAATGTACATATTATACGTGATTAGTGGCTTAATATGAAAATACTTTAGTGTTTCTGTTAATATTATAAAAGTATCGTTTCTTCTGTATCTGTAATATAATTTATTTAAAAATTATTATTATTTTATTCAGTAATATATAATCTTGATAATTTTATCTCTGTAAGATAAACATTATTATATATCAAATATTTTTATAAAAATATATTAAGTACTGCATAGATATTATTATATTAATAAATATATTGTGCAATTTGATGTTTACCATTAATGGACAATAAATAATAAATAATACATAAATAAGGATATTTAAATATGCGTTCATTTATCCAAAGACAATTGTTGCTCATTTTAGTTAAACTCAATTTGATAATAATAAATAATATTTAATGCCACTACATTAATTTTGCTAAATTTTTTATACACATTTATTAAATCGAATGCAATAAGAAGAAATTATAGCTCAGATAGCTTATTTATTATATTATTTGTAATAGTACAAGTATATTATAAAGACTATTAAATAAATGAATACCTACCTCATTACATTTATCCAACTAAATTCTGAATATAATATTTATTTATCTTTTCTTTAATATAAAACTATTTTCTCATCAACGAATAGCCAAATGAGTTCCTTGAGTTTGATATAAAAAAATTTGATAAAATAAAGCACATTAAATTCAAATTTGTACATATATAAACATATATTATATATATATATATTTATAAACGTAAATACAAAAATGTATTTAAATTGCGCAATTAAATAATATTTTATGTCACGTACGACTATTTCTAAAATAATAAAATTGTCATGGATCGATCTGTAATATGAATAAATATATTTTAAAAATAATATCGCCTGTACATTTCACAAATATACATTGCATAGAAAGTATATACGTGCATTAGGCAAATACTCGTTGCTTTTTATACATTCCCCATCTCTGGCTGTAGATCTGAAGTAAAATTTTTCATATTTATGATCTACCTTATTTATTCAGGCTTATGGTCTTTAATGTCAAAGTGATAGAGAGATCAAGTGCCTCGAGTTATGCAAATATCTCAAAATTCCGTATAAATGCTTATTTTTTGTTTTCGTATTGATTTATTAAAGAGTACGCGCAATAACTTCAATTTGTTACTGCCAAATCAAATATTTTCAAAGCTTTCCCATAAACTTACTTCCATTATATCTTGATAGAGTTGTCTTTTTGAACAATATAACGAAAAATCGCTTATTATAGGAAATTTTCTTGGCATTTTAGAAGAGCTCATTGCAATTATCAAATTTGTAGGTCCAAAGGATTTGCTCTAAATGTCATAAACGGGAGATCTTTATTTTTAACAAATTAAATTCTCGTTAATCGTTTGTTTGATGGATAATAAGCTTTTGATTTACCCTTTCTTAAAAGTACATCCAAATTTGATATCGTTCAGTACTTCGAAATTGTCGTGCCACTGGTATTTAAGTAAAACAGCAGTTAGTAAAGAATGATGTTCTATTTTATTCGTGAGTGCGGATATCCATGATATCCATGATATCTTTAGTATACCGTAGGTAACCGTTTAAGATTCCCATTCCGCTGCGATTGATGAGACCAATTTCATCCTTAAGGATGAAGGAATGGGAAAAGATTTATGCCTCGGCAGCATAATTTCAAAATAAAATGCAAATTGATCTATTTGTTCCCTTAGAATTCTCTGTCGGTTATCTAAAATTATGGGTTCCGGCAGGAACAATTTAACATTTTTTATGAACATTAATTTATATATTAAAGTCGACACTGAAATATTATATCTAAAGATAATTGACAGATCAAACAGTTCTAAATTATTCATTTTTATAAATTAAAAAAAAAAGAAAAAAATACCTTAATTACAAGTATAACTTGGGATATTTATTTTATTAATAAGAGAATTTCTCGCATACATTAATGTCCTAATAAATGTTATGACTTTAATTTGATTTTAACCATTTTTCTTACTGGTGCATAAAGAAATGGCACGCGGCCCGTAAGCGATGACCACACGAATAAAACGATATCCAAAAACTTTTTTTTCCCTTCTTTTGCGGTCCTTTATGATCTTGACAACTCGGATCTCTTGATCCAATTTAAATAAGAACATTCGATAATAACCACTCGAATGCCCTTTCAATGCTCCACATATTTATAGTGTTGCAGTAACGAGGGTTCGAGTGAACTTGACCAACTCGACGGGCAACGTCTTCTATGGGAATGGCGACGACCTTAAGGATCTTTCAAGTTTCTATCCCGAGGGATCAGTCTATTATGCCGACCAGGACGCTAACCATACCAATATTCTTTTGCCGGTGGAGAGGTTCGAATCCGCCGAGAGGCTCGACATACAACTCGGCTGCACTTATGCAATTCAGGTTATCGCCAATCCTTGGATCGACGATGCCGGTGTTACTACGCCCTCAACATCGATTCGGTAGTTATGCCCAATCGAAAGACTTAAGCCCGTGATTTACTAATTGATAATGAATGCTTTATATGTGGGAATGTGTCGACGTATAATGAATACGATGAGTGACATGGGATATTCAAAGTTCATTAAATAATACTCACAATGACATCCATAAATATATTTTTAAAATGCGTGATTAATATTGAGCACTTGAATTAAATTATATTATCGTTTTTTTAAGATTTGTATTACACGAAAATGTACCATTTACGTTTTTAATGTATTCACTAATATTGTTATTATCAGGATGAAGTTAAAAAATGATTATTTAATAACAATTTTGCTTGGGCTTTGTTTTTCATTAATTAAAAAAAAAAAAAAAAAAAAAAAAAAAAAAAAAAATCATTAATTATCCTCATTACATTACTTCTCTACTAATCTATATCGTGAAGAATTACTTCTTGAATCTTTGTTAAACATATAATCAGGTTCATTCTTTATGTATTGCATTATAAATAATTGTGGGGATACTTAATATGATATTATAAGTAACAAATAATAAAAAAAATTTATTATTTATATATACATATTTATATATACATATTCATCCAAGTTTATTCATAAATTTGTAACAAAAATTAGAAATAAAATCAGAAATAATTTTCAATGTACAAACTATTTTTAATATTAAAATTTTTTTTATAAAAATCATACGATTTAATAAAGCATTAATAATGTTAATGATTTTATAAAAATAAAAAAAAATTAAAATTTCCTTTCAGATTTGATATTAACTTAATTAATTGCTCAGAAATAATAATTATGCTTTTATGTTAAGAATAGAGGATATTATTGCAGTTAAATCTAAATATTATCAACGATTATTATTTTATTACTAATGATATTCGATCAATGTAATTTAATATAATGTAATGAAAGATTTTGGAATACCAGTTTAAAAAAAAATCTATTTTCTAATATAATTATTATACATTTTATATTTAAATTCAAATATATTATTTTGCCTTTTGTTACTTTTCTGTTATTAAATATTAAATTATTGTAATTAATTCATACGTATTAAAGGTTAAAAAGCACTATTGCATGGTGTTACTATTAATTAAAATTATAAATTAAAATTATATGGCTTTTATATATTATATTTGAAATTGTATTTTTTGCAACATTTAAAAACTTTATTCGCAACATTTCAAAAAATTCATCCCAAGTAAGTCAGTTTTCATTTTTTTCCTTTTTTTCTTCTTCATTTTTTTTTCTTTTTATTAAAGTATGTCACGTAAACGTGAACAATATAAAAAAATTAAGATTTTATCTTTTGTTTTTATTATATCAAAGATAATGTCAACAAAATTTAAAGAATTAAGCACAGTAATATGCAATGAAATCTACTTTATTTTTTTAATTGTTCATACTGTAATATGACGATAAATAATACACAAAGGCAAATATTTTAATTTGAATGTTTAAATATTACAATGCATATATTTATTATAAGCTACTATAGTCAGCAAGAAATAATATAATTAATTAATTCATAGAATTGAATAATTTTCGAATATCAAAATTAAATAAATAAAGTTTGAATGCATCACTTTCGAAATAATAAGACATGTTAATTTTATTTCTTATTCTATTATCTTATTGGATATGCGCATAAAAACTTATTAGCTAATAAAAAATTTTAAAAATTTTATCAGATTTAATGAATATTTATAAATCACTCATAATTCACCTTTCCACCTTGTATCTTTTTTATCTTAATTTTCATTACGAAAGGCAAATTATTATTATTATTGTTATTAATAGTGGCAGACAATCGAGGGTGTTAAGCTACTTAAAAGGACCTTAAAATAAAGAATAATTCCATGCGCGCGCGCCTCTGTGCGCAATGAGATATTTTACAAATAATTATAAGGATATTTATTTGCCCGACAACGAAAATTATATTATTTGAAATGATTTCTGGCGCAAGGAGCGAGAGAATTTCTCTCTCGAAAACAGCTGACTCAACAGCACGATTGCAGACGATGTTCACGGTACCGGAATGCGTGGGTGGACGCTGCAGCTGTGATGCGATGCTGGATGCACTTCCGATTCCAGTTGTCACTGTCATAAATCCCTATAACGGCGGCACCCTGATTAACTGGAAAATCAAGTCGACGAAATTGACGACTGATCATAAGCAATTTAACATCAAATCCTTCGCAATCAGGTAATTTTCAACTCTTCATAAGGCAAATCTACGAATGAACAATAAACAATAGTGTAAAATTACATTAATAATAAATTACGCTCATCCAGTTACTTATCTTTATCATTTTTCTTTTTTATTTTTTGTCAATTTAAATAGAATTGAAAAGCTTTTAAAATACTATGGTGGCATTTTATTTGGTTAATATCTATTTTATTGCAAATATTCGTTTATTCAACGTTACCTTCTATACATAAGATTAACCATTAAGTCTATTTTTCTATTATTTTATTTACAAAAACGTTTTTAAATTATTTTTACTATATTTTGAAATAAAAACTTATCTTATTTGTTAGATAACATTTTAACAATAGAGATATTATTTCGTAATAAATCATAAAATATATATCTTTGATTTCATCAAAGCGTCTCTTTTTATAATCTGGGAAATTCATAATGCATTTTTTTCATTTTTTTTTGTTTTATTTTTATATAACCTATTATATAAGCTAATTATATTACTCAATATTATATTATTTATATTTATTATACTATAGTCTATGAAATATAAGATTTTGTTTTTTTCATTAATTTAATTGATATATTGCTAATACGTTTAACTTTTATTTACAATATTGTTATCTTCTATTATATAACTATAAAGGATCGTAAGATATAATTTTCATGATTTCACAGTGTGCACTTAAATGATTTCTTTGATAAAAATTTTCAGACCGTATACTTAAAGAAAAAAAGAAATCAGAAAAATCTATTTTTGAATATTATAATTTGCTATTAGTCAACAAAAATTTGTGCATACATGCAACGTCATTCGCTTCTATTAGTAGTCACAATACCTCTAATTCTGCTTCATAGAATTACATTAATAACGCGAGAATATTAATTAATTTCAATATACGAATGGATAGAATTATTACATAACTATTTTCATCTCCTTAATTAGTTTGCCAAGACTTTAGTTTGAAACATTTATGAAATAAGAGGAGTGAATCGTTAAAGTAAATCCCTGGGCTATTTATTTTAAATATTTAGGTATACTTTTTCCATACAACAAATACATGATATTTCAATATTTGCACTGAATTTCGCTATAAGTCATTTATTTAGTTTACACGGAGTAAAAAGTGTAAAGACTAATAATGTCGATTTCCTTTGTTGAAAAACAGCGTGCGAAATAATGCTGAAGTCTAGTTTGTTATATGGGGCATTGTCTTATAATTAGTAAACACAATGATTTTCTTTCAAAGCCCATTGCGTATATTGGAGTTGGGGGGGGGGATGTATGACTATTGTAGGCAAAACGTCGACGATAAGCCGTCGTTGGGCGATCGTGACGGCGTCGAGTGAAAGAAAAAAGATAGACCTTTTTTTTCCAATGGCAACGCGAACATGTCTGTCTATCTCTATTGAGTAAAGAACAATCGGGCTTATTCCTATTTGCTCATTTTTAATTCCGATTAATTAGGCAGCTCGGTACTTTTTATCAATTAGTACTAATTGCATATTTTCGTCGCTGTAATTGATTTGAGGAGGAAGTATTTTCGAATTTCACAATATATCTTTATCAAATTACTCTATTCATCATCATCGAATATAATTTTGTGTTTTATTCTTATGTAAACGCGACTGCTCGACATTAGCATTGTCACTTAATAATTATTGTCGTGAGTATATATAAGCGGATCTGGCAAATACTTTATGACACTTACAAGCCAATAAAAATTATAAATTATAAACGATATTTATTCAGATGTGAAATAATAATTAATAGTGTTAATTAAAAAAAAAAAAAAAAAAAATTACGAGGTCACTATTGCTTAATTTCAATATTGAAATACTTAGCTTTTATTCAAATAGAAGCTAAGACGATACATTGTCAATTGTTTATAAATCCAGATACGAATAACAAATAAAAGAGCTTGCAACAAATGTTTATAATTCTAAATATTGCTTATATATGAATATACTAAATTTTTAATAATCAACAATTATCTATGTAAACAATTTTCAATAAAAAATAAATAGTAATTTAATATATGATATATTAATAGTCGTTTGCGTGTGTGTGTGCGCGCGCGCATTTGTGCAGATATAACATTAGCGTCGATAAACCGTAAATCAGCTCTTCATCTTTTTTAATGAAAGTTATTCATTGGTTATATTAGTCTTACAAGTAGATTAAATAGATTAATTAAAAAAAGCCACTTATTCAGAGATAGAAAGAAAGAAAAAAAGTAACTATGGTTTAGTTTCGAAATATTTTTATCTCTAGAACATCATTAAATCTACGAGGCAAAGAATAAAAGTACAACATTAGTGTTAGAAAATTTTCAGTACTTGTGTATCCGTAGTAATGGTATCACATAACGATTTATTAAAAATATGAATTATATATATATATATAGTGCTGGTATACCGTACATAACATCCTCGAGTGATGAGGTTCTTTATAACAAGACCTTAATATTCTCTGGTAAAGCGGACAACAACTCATTTTACTGGAAGCAAGAAAAATTAAAGAAAGGAACAAAAATCTTCGTGACCGCGCAAGATTCATATGGCTGTTCCGGGAGGGAAGGCACTTATACGATTAAAAGACTGCGACATCATTCATTTTATCGCAAGAACATTGCCGTGAGTATCTCAAAATGATTCAATTACATCATCAATATTTATTATGGCATATTGATTGGCGACAGTGTAAAACTATCATTCAAATATTTATGCTTATGAAGAGAGCGCGGGCAATTTTGACAATTGTTAAGTTATTAATTATGAATTAATTACTGCAATAAGAATATCCTTTTATGTTTAATTGAAATTCTTATGATTATTTTTAAAATGGGCTTACAAGGACGATTCCGGGACGTTTGAGAAACACAACTTAATAATAATTTGCAACATAAATTTGCTAAATTTCTTTCATAAGAAGTCATAAATATAATAATATCTAAAGATCTTCAATATAATAAATACAAACGATTTGAGTGAAATTTTTACATATTTTGTTAAATTATTACTTACATTAATGCACATGCGGGTAAAACAAATAGATTAATATCAATATAGTTATAATTATTAATATTAATCGTGCAATAAATATCGAATGATAAAATGTAGCTAAAACATAAAGAACATACTGTATGGTTATAATTTTTTTTACTTTTTTTTTTTTTTTTTTTTTCCTTGTAGCACAATATTATTACATTATCATCATAAAAGTGTGAAAAATTTTAAATTTACAAAAATGCAAAAAAGTAATATTTCCAGATCAAAATTTTTTAAGTAAACTAAGAAGACTCTTGTGGCGTAATTTAATTTAATGAATGCTTGCAACTTTTACTTCTTTATCTTTAACTCGATACTTTTACCTTTTTTCATTATTTTATATTATAGTTTTTATCTCGTGATTTTTTCATTTTAAACACATTTACTCTTATTATTATATTAATTTTATATAAATTATTCAAATAATAAAAATATAAATTACAATAATGATAATATTTATTATTAAAATGGTTATATTGTATAATTAAGTTTCATTCGACATTCACCTATAATACATTATCACTAGTGTTAAGAAATTTTCTTTTTCTTCTTCTTCTTCTTAAAGATAACGAGATGAAAAAGAAGTATTACAAATAAACTCTGTTATTGGTGATTTTAAAATATACATATTTAAAATATTAGTTTACGTATACTTAAGCGAGAAAAATCAAGGAAAAACTGACATTTGTAAATTCTTAATCATAATTGCTGTTTTTATACGTTATATTCCTTTCATGCCAATTAACGTTGAAAATTTGTCAAATATTTTTTTACACATTTTAAATTACAATTTTTATATTATTAACCATATATTCTACGATAATTTCCAGACAGTCATTTTTGCAGGATTAGTGGTGCTATGTTTAATGCTGAGTGGATTATTTAATTTCATTCAATATTGCTTAGAAAATCACAAATACAAATTATGTTCGTGGAGAAAGAAATCTACAAGGTAAATATGTACGATAAATATTGGTAATATTTTAATTGCTGTTGGCTTGTCATTAATTATGAGTCTCTGTTAATTTGAATTAAAACTTTGCAGGAAACTTAGTTCGATATTTCATAAGCCGAAAATTGAAATACTTTTAAGAAATGAAAATACTTTGTATATTGATAAAAAAATTGAAGTTTTATCATAAGATAAGATGTAAATGTAATATTCCAACAAGTATATATTCTTTATTACGAAAATGTGATTTTATTTCGGCTATATATATATATATATATATATATAATAGTTTTGTAATAGGTAAAGAGACAGCAGGAAAGCAATAAAATCTATATAATTTCACATATAACACTATGGAGCATATTCGCAATTATTTCTTAAAATAAGAATTATTTTATTCGGCCCAAGAACGTACCCATCTTTCCAACAAAAGATAATTATTCATTAATACGCCCAAAAGGACAGGTATTGTTTGTTGTTAGTCGTCAAGTCATCACTATTATAAATTTGAAAAGTACATCCTCTATATTCATCGAAAAATATATTTGCTAACTATAATAAACAGTCATAATTTAAAAACAATAAGAAAATTGTTTATTTATAAACTAGTGATTATTAATCTGATATTAAGAAGAACGTAAATAATATATATATATATATATATATTGTTATATTAGTATTATGTTTTAACAGGGCATTGAAATATTTAATTTGTCGTTTAAGGATGCGTATGGAAGTTATTTAATGAGTTTAATGAGGTATGTATGGCAAATCTTGTATCAATGTTTTTTAGTCCATTAATTTGATATGGCAAATTTGCGTGTCATAGTCAAGGGTGAAGAATATTTTTCTTTAAAAATGTTAAATAATGCTTTGACAAAAATAATCTTGCTATTATATACTTTATATACTTTACAATTCATGAAATAATTATGTCACAATTTTATTTATTGGTCTACTTTAAGTAATCTAGATGTTTCAAAACAAACCTCTTTTTTTTCTGTTGCTTTTTCTTTTTTTTTTCTTTCTTTTATTACATATTATTTTTATTACATACATGTTAGGAAGCGTGTGTAACAAATTTTTACAACTCGTTCTCCTTTATTTTGCAAGAAATTGTCAAGATATTGTATGCCCATCAAGTTAATTTCAGAAAATTTATGAAATTGCCTAAATATTCTTCTGCAACGCATTCTCACGGAAGATAAAAATCTCCCACGAAACATGCACGATAAATATTCTAATTAAATTTTAAATTATAACATTGTCTCGAGCAATAATGTTTTATATTAAGAAGCTGTGTTCGGTCGTAGGACCGAAGGGATGCAGGTTAATAAAATTTTAATGTTCTCTCCTAAAGCTACGCCAATTTATTCGCGAATTATGAATACATATTATCGTGCTTTACGAACTGGTTGTCATAATAAGCCTGCCGCATGTGAAATATCCATCAAATCCCTATGCGTAGCCAATCCTTTTCTTAAAAAAAAAAAAAAAAAAAAAAAAAAATTGTTTGACCGTCGCTCGGCTGAATTAGCCTATAATAATATAACTTTTAAAATGCGAGTCTTTAAGGCAACCGAGCGCCACCGTTGCATTCCCATCTATTTTACCTCGCAGCTCGTATCCATTAGTAAGCCATAGGAGCTCCTGTGGTACGGACTCGGGCGTACGTAATGGCGTCGATTCAGTTGGTTGTCGAGTGGAAGGGTCCCGAGGGCGAGAGGAGATACGACTTCACCCAGCACTAACTCCTTCGCGATGGCATAATGCGTGCCGTGACTGGCGGCCGCGATAGACCGATGAAAAAAAGAAGCGGCCATCGATTCCCATTGGGACGAAGGAAACCGAAGGAAGCCGCGATCTCAAGGACCTCTCCTTCTCCACCCCACCCCACCGCCACCACATCATAGCCCCCTTCGCGTCGCGGGCCTATCCCGCCCCGCCTTCCCCCGGAAGTAGCGCGCGAGATACCCACCGGGCGAAACGGCCCGTCCTTTGTCCTTCCCCGGCAGTTTCTTTAGTCGCAATCTCGCTTGTTTGCATCTCGGGCGCCGCGGGACGCCAGACGACGATTCGGCAGTGCTTATCGCCGTGGAAATGTCCCCGGGGAGCTCCGATTCATCCTATCACGTAGGCACTTCGTAACCGCGCGGCCTCTCATTACGCCCTATCTTTGCGCCCCGGCTTAACTTTATTTTATCCTCGCTTTTACTTCTTTTATCGCCCTTGCATTTTTGTGCCGGCGATTATGCGATATGACGCTTTCCTACGCGGGTCTTTCGTTGCGTCACGGCGACGAGCGGGCCGCTTGAAATTCTCGATATACGAGAATTCAGATCGAGACGAGAATTTTCAAAATTTAGTTCGATTCGCGATTTCATTGGGCTTTTCCATGGCTGTTGGCCTCGACACACGACTGGACATTGGCGGCTCGCGCACACGCAGAAGGAATCCCGCAGTGAAAAGTCATTGTTAATTGGGGAAACGAGGTTGGTCGCAACTATCGCACCTATCGCACCTATCGAACCTCATTTTCCTAATCAAGTATTTAGTTTATGCATATTTTATGGCCATTTAAACGTGTTGGACGTAATAGATCAACAACATTTTACATGCGACGAGTCTTTTTCCCGGTGTCACTCATCAAAACATTTCTTCCTCCCTTCATGTAAAATAGAGATAATACATCCGAGCAGTTTAGAAAGTTGGTATTGAAGCAATTTCTAAGATTTAAAGCGATTAAAAAATCCAGAGTCATTTTTCATAAGCATCCAATCATTAATTATAATTGAGTACATTGGCTAGGGTTTTCAAATCCTTAGAGATATTTCTTTGGAATGTAAGCGTAATTTGCCTTTTCTTTTTCTCTTCTTTATCATTTCATTTTGTGTTCTTTTTTATATTTATTTGCAATAACATATATTGTGTATATAACGTATATTCAATAATAGGCTTTTCCAATTTTTATTTTTAGATTAAAAAAATAAAATAGAAGTTTTCTTTTTTTTTTTCTTCTTTTTGTTTTTTTTTTTTTTTTTTTTTTTTTTTTGTTTTTAACAAAAATACAATAATCGTTATTATTATGTTGCATTCTAATTTTGTGACTCGATTGTAGTAGGTAAGCTTTGTCTTTTTCTCTCTCGATTTTTATTCAATATTTCTCGATTTTTATTTCTGAAATTTTTACGTTTATACAAATATTCTCCACGCTCACTTTATTTTCCAATTAGTATAAGCGCTTAGATAGTCATTTAGTAGGGAATGTCGAATCTGAGCTAAAATGCCATTTTATCATTAATTTAACTTTAATTTAATTGCTCGCAATATTATTGTCATGTATTGTGACGTAGGAACAGAAAGTGATAGGAAAGAAAAGCTCTCCAGAGTCGAGGCTTTCAATCGCAATCGCAATCGCAATCCAAGAGAATTTTCTAGCTCCTGTTACGCTTGTTAAAACACTGTTCTTCAATATTCTTCGATGCAAAAGATTTTTATTAAAAAATTTGTGAAAAACGCGCATAAAATATAAAGTGCTTGCATTTTGTGTCTGTATTTAATATGTGAAAAACCGCACCTCGTTAGCATAAAATGACAATTTTTCACCTCGCGTGGCTAACAGGTTTGCGCTGCATTTTTACGAATAAATGAGCCACGATATGCGGACAGATTGGCTCGAGTGCCAAGCTCGTTGCAAGCATATTTTCCACGTCCATTCCCC